CCCAGACACACACACAGCAGGCAGCAGCCCTGAACTACCAGGCAGAGCAGAGCTGCCCATGTGGTGACTGGTCTCACCTAGGGAGCTGGAGGGCTAACTCAGCCTCGCTGAGGAAGTTTCCCAGTAAACTCTACAAACTGGGAATAATCAGTGGAGAAGGAAAACCCAGCTAAGGGATCTTGAAAAGCATGAAAAGCAGAAGTGCTAAAATTGACTTTAGTGACTTTTAAAGTCAATGGAATAGGCGTGGAGATGTGGTGTGTAGAAAGTCAACCTAATGTGGCTAAAGCGGCGAGGAGTCCTGTGGCACCTTATAGACTAACTGAAGTGTTGGAGCAAAAGCTTTCGTGGGCAAAGACCCACTTCGTCAGATGCATGGCCAAGTGGGTCTTTTCCCACGAAAGCTTATGCTCCAACACTTCAGTTAGTCTATAAGGTGCCACAGGACTCCTCGCCGCTTTACTCCATGGGAGAGGCATCTCACTCCCTATTTGTTGCCGGGCAAATTCTGAGTGTGCCTTGGCTCCCCCTCCCTATCAGGGACAGTGTGCCTCTCCCTGAGCTGCCAGCAGACAGAGCCCCAGGAATCTAGGTAATCTCCTTGGGGGTTACATAAGTATTGGGTAATTGACTAATCGAATAGTCAATGCATTTTTGCATCGATAGGGTGCCTCCACCTTTGAAGAGTAGCAATAACCCTAGAGCTGTTGCTACACTTCAAAGGTGAACGCGCCAAAGCCCGTAGTCAGCTGGGGACGCCCCTCTGACTGCAGGCTCCATGCAGCACTGCCACTTTGAAATGCCGCTGCAGCGTTTCAAAGCGGCAGCACTGCACAGAGCCCAGGGTCAGCAGAGAAGTCCCCAGCCAATCCCGGGCTCCATGTGGCGCCGCCACTTTGAAATGCCACTCAGAGCCGTACATTGGGCTCCCCACAGCGTTTTAAAGTGGCAGCGCCGCTTTTAGCCTGGGGCTAGCTGGCAAGTCACACGGGCGCCACACAGCATTTCAAAGCAGCAGTGCTGGATGGAGCAGCTGAACCCGGGCTCCCATGCAGCACTGTCACTTTGAAGTACCCCCTTCTTCTCTCCTCTGATAGAGGCAGCAAGGCGGGCGGATGACAAGTCGACTATCCTGTTGACCTATCCGATAAGCATTTTCTTATGGGATAGTCGACTAATCAACTAGTCCTTCACATCCCTAGCAGGTGCCACATGCATCTATTAACACTACAAGCCCTGTGGAAAGAAGAAACTTTGTGTACTGCTCCTGCCCCCAGCAGTCTCATGCCTTTATTGGCTGGTTTCCAGCCAATGGGAGCTGCTTGTTTGCAGGCCAGGCAGTGTGTGAAGTACTCCTCCTCCCCCCAATCTCACAGCGTTCAGAGATGCACATGGCCACCACGGCTAGCTCCTCTGAGCATGTGGGAGGGCATGGAAAGCAGGAAACCTGTGCTGACCAGGAGCCACTCTGGTAAACCCCTTTCTAGCCAGAGACTACCTCTGACACTCGAGCTGCTCCCTCTGCCCACTCTTGCATCTCTACTTACTTCCTGACCCTGCACCTCTCTTCCAGATCACAATCCCCCCAATCCTCTACCCCCAGTCACAACCCAGATCCTCACACTCTTGTTTCACTGCCCAACCCCCTCCCAACCCCTGTACTTCCCCTTGCACCCTCCATGTCAGAATCCTCTCCTTCACCCAGATCCTGCACCTCAAGCCCTAATCCCTGGTCACAAGCCCCTCCCAGATCTTGCACCCCAACATACAGCCCTCTTCCACGTCAGAATCCATTCAAAGTAGGAATAAGAGCCTCCGGAAAAGGGCGCTTTTTCCGGAGGATCGGGGCCAGTGTAGACGCTCTTTTCCGGCTTTTTTAAAAGCCGGAAAAAAGCGGCGGACATTTTTATTTAAATGCGGCGGGGGATATTTAAATCCCCCGCGCATTTCCCTACTACGACTGGTGAAATTTACATGCCCTTTCCGGAAAAGGGGCCAGTGTAGACGTAGCCCTACATTGTCCTGCATTTTGCTTCAGCTACCCCAGACTAACACGGCTACATTTCTATCACTATTCCTCAGTCCTCTGTGCGCCAGCTGCTGCGGGAGGCTCACGAGCGGGGTAACAGGCTGCGCGAGCCCATTCACAGACCGAACTGCGCCCTTTAAAAGATTCCATCATTCCACTGACGTCACAGGCCTCCCACGG